AAGAGGGCCGGCAATGGAGGAGGGGCGTACCAAAGGGACCATCTTATCACAAGCAGAACTGGTTTGTTCCACTGTGGAGTAAGCTATTGGGGGAAGAATCAGTTTTGTTGTGCGTTTCCTTGACTGATGAAGCCTTCCGGATCAAAGGCAAAACGTTTCAGCACAAAGAAAGAAACTGTCCAGATGACCTGACTGAAAAATGTTGGCTTGTATACCTGGATTATTGAGCATGGACTTTGCTGTCTGTTGGATAGATTAATTTTTCTATTTACTTAGTTTGTCGTTTTGTTCCTAGGGAGATCACGGTGACGACGGCGAACCAGGTCTTCCTGGTAAACCTGGTTCACCTGGTAAAACTGGTGGTCCTGGACTCCCAGGAGAGCAGGGAGCCTTTGGACCAAAGGTAAGAGGAAAATGTTGTTTTGCTTGGTTACTCATTAATGTTAAATAATTATAAATAAAAACTAATTATGAGTACTTGAATGTCCTTTTAAATTAGCATAATCCGATCTTCTGAAGAAATTCAAAATCAATGCACGGGCACTCTAAATGATTGTATAAATGACTGCACCTCTTGTGTCATCAGTCAAACATGTTCTGATGTATTCATCCATCCAGGGTGAGCAGGGCCTTCGAGGTCAAAGTGGACCTCCAGGAAAACGAGGTTTCAAGGGTGGAATGGGACTACAAGGGCCACAAGGAGACCATGGACCTAAAGGACAACCAGTGAGTGTTCACCAGACATACTAAGTACACTTACAGAACAAATACTGTAAAGACTGTGAAATTTTATAGCATCTGTAAGATGAGCTCAATGTTTTTATTTTAAAATTTCAAGTTTCATTTTTGAAAGACCTTTTCCTGATCACTGAAATAAGATGTCTTCTTTAGGGCGATACAGGGGAACAAGGTTTTCCAGGATTCCTGGGTGTTTTTGGACCAAGGGTATGTTAATTACAAAAATTAACACAATTTTTGACACACCCAAAAAAAAAACGTAAAACACATCTATGGTATTGTTAAAATTTATGTAGCAAAAAAGGGGTGCATCAAATGAAGCACGTCTTAGGGCTGTTCCAAGTTTTCAGAATCTGAAATAGCCCCTGAACTTAGACAGACATGGCTCCTTATCTTGATGTAGAAGCACTTGATGACCATGTTAAAATGGTGACAAATTATATTTTGTTTATACAACTCCCAAACCACAATGACTGGTTATACAAAAATAAAAACATATCAGTAATTTTCTGCAAATTTACAATATTTTCACAGAGTTTATATAGGTTTTACGTTTTTATCACAAATGATCAAGAAAAAACTTTATAAAGTTGCAAAATCATGTTCTACTGATGCGTTTTAGTGTGGCAACATTATATTGTGTTATTGTGCTTTAATAAAAGCAAAACACAAAACCAAGGCCATAATTTCATGTAACAGCTTGATTATGTTGTATTATATTACTGTATATTGTTGATTATATGCAAGTAAATGGTGAATGTCAGGTGTTTCATAAGGCATATATTTTCTTAAATAAAAAGGATATAATTAATTACAAAGTCAAACGCAATGAATTATTTTACTGCTTTATCCCGGCTAGAACACTGGGTTGGGATTACTTGTGCAGCGTTAGAATGGTTCCATTCATACCTGAGCGACAGGAGTTTCTGTGTTAATTTTGCTAACACTCTACCCTCTAACCTCTTTC